TGTGACTCTGCTCAGCTCTCTGGACCCAGCCTGGCTAAACTAGGGTGGGGGGTGGGAGGGGACTCTCCCTTTTGCAGGTGGCTGGTCAGCCCTGGCTTCTCGGGGTTGACACAGGACCCTGCTCAGGAAGAAAGGGGGACCCTGAGTTAGTTAATTGTGCCAGCCTGGCCAATAATCACATGTGGGGCTAATTGAAAGGTGGAGGGATAAATGGGTGGTGAGCCTCGCCTTTCTAGTTCTCAGGTCTCTTGTTTTGTGATGGTTGCACTGGGTGCAGCTGCCTTAGCAGTTCCCTGCTTCAGCTTGCAAGATTGACTTCCTACAAGACATCCCCAAGGAGAAGCCACATGGACCTATCCTGATGCAGCCCTGGGTGCTGGAGCAGCCGTGTGGAGACCCCTGCTAGTGCTGAGATGCTTGTTCGTTCACTGACTCAGCTTTCCTCCTGCAGTCGGCATCATTGCCTCTGTTTTGTGAGGTGGAGGACTTTGTGGACTGGTGTTGGGTTAATGGGTTAATGTTGGACTTGTGGGCTTGGGCAGCCTTGGGTTGGGATGTTTTCGTGATGCACCTTTTCTTTACATAAAACTCTCTCTTATCCATGAGTTGCTGTGGATTTGTTTCTCCAGAGTACCTAGACTCATACAGACCCTGAGTTCAGCATGTCTGACTTCTCTCTGGAGGTTTAGAAGCAGCTGAAGAAAGAGTCCCTCAGTGAAGGGGCACAGCCTGCTGTGAGAGGGGGACCATGGTGCTCACGTGGGAGGATGTAAGAAAAACATTTGCATTACGAATATAACATCCTCTGTACACTGGTAGAGACAGGAACTGGAAACACAAGGAATCCAGGACAGATGAACCCTTCAGGACCAGTGCACCAAACGGAATCCATGATTCCAGTCCAGAAAGACTGTGAGCATCCTACCTGTTCAAATCTAAATGGAGAAACAAAAGTCTATATAAAATTCCTTGGCTTTATCCATTCCATTGCAACACAAGGGTATTTTTAAAACATCTCTTTCCAGTCAAGCTGTGATTGGTGAGGCATGATGAGGAAAAAATGTGCCCTGGCAAAGACCCTTCTGCCTTTCTCTCATAAAATGTATTTATGATACCAAAAAGGCGGTAAAATGGGACAATTTGAGTGCTTCCCTGCCACTGATGTTATTCCACCTGAATATCGGCAAAGCCACAGCTCTGAACGCTCCACTCTCAGGAAGAAATCAGCAAGAATTTTCTTCACACATTAAATTTTGTTTCCACTGCATTAGTTTTCTGATGTGTCATGCTCATGGAGAGAAGTATACATTAAGTATACATATTTAAATTTTGTTGAAATAAAATCAACTCCGAGCAAATTATCTTATGGAGATGTTTGACTTACCTAAAAATAATATTATGGATTCACAAGTTTTTAAGAAATATTGTTTCATCTTCTTAAGTTATTTTGTGTCAAATTACAGTAGACCCCAGACCTCAATGCTAATCCATTCTAGAAGGAGCCTTGAGATTTGATACAGTCAAGTTCCAATTCAATTTTCCCCATAAGGCTTGAAGGTAAACAAGCAGCCATCTAACTCAGAAGCAACAAAGCCCATATGGAAGAAGCGCACCAGCCTGTGTGATCACGAGGTGCTGAAGGGATCAGTTATCCCATCAAAGAACAAAAAATCCTATCATTGTGTGCTCACCTCTCCGATATGATCGCTGAAGACAAATGGGTACATAAACAAATGTGGTGACGAAAGCTGATGGTGCCCGGCTATCAAAAGATATAGGGTCTGGGGTCTTAAAGGCTAGAAGTTAAACAAACAGCCATCTAGCTCAGAAGCAACAAAGCCCACATGGAAGAAGCACACCAGCCTGTGTATTCATGTGGTGTTGATGAGATCAGGTTTCAGGAATCATCAGAACAAAAAAATCATATCATTGTGAATGAGGGGGAGTGTGGAGTGGAGACCCAAAGC